TGCCAAGAGCTTTATGAAAGCACATGTAAACGAAATTTTCAAACCTTTTCACATGGAGATCTACCGGAAAGACATAGTTGGTTTTACGCCTGGCGATCTCGGAATTGTGAGTCCCTCAGCCCTTCATAACATATGCTTTTGACATTAATATTTACTTTTAGAGCTGGTCCTGTGTTGCTTGTAGACATTCTTTCACATTTTCTCATGATTGTTTGGGGAAAAAAATAGAGGTAGTAATTAGCATGAATATATACACGAAATTAATATGCGAAAATGTCGCACAGACCTATTATGTGATCAGCCTATTTTTGTGTGGCCCAGCGAATTCTTCCGAGCTGGCGATCACTGACCTCGGACTGATGATCAGTATTCCGGACTCGGCCATAGCCCATAGGCATCTTTGGTAAAATTTTTCACATTAAATATATTACTTTACTATTAGCAATCATGGCGAATAACAATACTCTTACGAAAGAAACACTTGCTCAGTTTTATGGAGTGCTTTTATATAAGAAGAAGGATATAGTAGCCATTCAGGAGCGCCAAGCCGAAAGAAAACTCGGTATGTTACCTCTGGTAACCATTGGTGGTAATGCAAATAAATTAGTAGTGCCTCCAGATTCCGAGCTCATGGGGAAAACACTTGCTGATTCGTACGAATTGTTGTTAGAATTGGTAAGGGATTTAATACCGATACAGGAGAATCTCAGCATCGATAGTAATCCCATTCTAGAAGAGGCACTCCGAAGCAATAAAGCTTTTACAGATATTCCATTTGGTGAAATATTTAATTTGTTTATGTGTTTAGAAGAGGATATAATAGCAATTCAGGATAAACTCGACATTGTTGGTTATTCTAATCAAGAAAGGGCGGAAGAAGTTGATGAAAATATGAGTGCATGTCTCCGGAAGCTTGAGGAATTTCATGGTCCCTTAGAGGATGATCCAGGTGTGATATTACCGAAATATGGTGAAATGGGGGTAAAGAAAATTATGTTTATTGGAGAGGGGCTTCCATTATTTCCGAAGCTCTCTCCTCAGCAATTGCACGAAATATTCGTCAAAAATCCAGCTAACACTGATCAGTGCCCATGTCTAGAACAGGTTAGCTAATCTATATTTTTTATCACACAGGGCGCAAAAAAATCTTCTGAGCTGATCACTGCTCTGGATTAGTAAGATCAGTAGAGTTTCACCATTCTGCTTGATCGTCGAGTAATACTACCGAATAATTCCTTGGCGCTTGTCTGGTTATAGCTATAGTGGAGTGATCGGCACCAGAGTCCACAGTCATAGATATATTAGAATTAAGTTGCTGGTACTGAACCGGATCCAGAATATTATCAAAACTATGCCGGGTGTTATATAACTGACCACCACTCCGGAGCAATGGTCTAGCTAGAATACAACGTTCACTCAATCTCCTTGATAATTCGTTGTTTGATAAAATTTTTTAAGGATGCAACATCTCTTGGTGCATCATGTGGTATTCCCAGTTGCCTTGCGAGTTGATGGATCGGATCTAGGAGATGTACCCGAATCGGCACGAAATTCTCAACATGGATATTTGGACTAAGCGAGGAAACCAGCTGATCTACGACTTCTTTGCTAATATTATTACACCCTTCCAAATTGAGGTACTTTAAATTAAGACATGAACCAGCAATTTCTTTGATAGTTATATCGGTAATTTGACAAAAACTAAGGTCGAGTTGCTGGAGCCTTGGGCAAGAACGAATAACATTACAAATTGATGTTTCAGAATATTCTCTACGATTAGAGATATTTAGATATTCTAATCTATGGCATGACTTCGCGATTCTCCATAGACCACTGCCATCTACTTCTCGAGTATGAAAGCTCCTAAAGCCACCTGGCCGATCAATGCATAGATTGAGATACTTCAGATTCGGGTATGAACTCGCTATCAGTTCTAATGCTCTATTACTAAATGCTATGCTATTTATGAAACTCAAGTGGGTTATATTTGGGCATGAATGTACAATGCTTATGATTTTTTTATCTGAAAGTGAATGGTAGTATGATATTTCGAGATGAGTTACATTTGAGCAATAAACTGGCGTTTGATTCCTACGTACTAACTTTATGAATTTTTTCAATCGAGAGAGATCCTTTGCATGTTCTATCCTTATGAATTTATTTAATCGAGGGTGTTCCTTTGCACAGTAATTTTTATAATCATTTGGAAGAGATTGCCTAGGATATAAGTCTTTTCCCTTTAGCTCAATACGCCTCCATAGGATAGGGACACCACATCTGTACCAAAGCCGGCTAACAAATAGAGCAGGGTATAGAGATTTATCTATCAATAAGAAATGTAAAATATGTTCTAGTACTTCTGGTATAATAAAAATAGTTGATTGCGCCATAATTAATATATGCTTTATCTTTAATCGAAAAAATAAAGTTAGCCGAATCTAGTTTGCTGGTAGATCACTGCTCTGACTGAGCCTTTTCACTATGTCATCTAACGCAAGTACTTCTAGCCCATCCAAAAGAACTTTAAATGTATTCTCAGGTGATAACCCTCTGAGGAATAGATTTTTAAGAAGCTGTTCTGAATAGTCTTTGCTTAAATTACACTCTTTCAGTTTCAAATAATATTCCTTTACTGTATAATTGCCTTGAACTATTCCTCCAAATAAAAATTCCATTCTTTTGCACCATTCAAGATTCGCCTCTCTTTCCCATATATTATTTATACTGCGAGAATTCTTTAGTTCCTGTTCTGGAAGATACTTTAGAATAAATGATATTATCTCTGGCGGAAGAAGATTAAGTAAATTATCTGTATGCATTGTTTTATTTATATAGTTAGAATACCTTTCGATCGAAAAAATCTTCTGAGCACATGATCACTGCTCCGAGCTATCAGTTGGGTTGAGAAAATCAGTCATAGCTCGGATCTGACTATCGGATAATATTGAAATGTAATTTACTTCTTTGAATGGGATCGTAAAATTATCGTCTAATAGTAGTTTTGAATTGCGTATATCTAAAATTGCCCCATTTTCTTGAAACCATGGCATTCCTAATACTAAGTCAGGTCCCAGCCAATCTGGTCCAACAAGTATGAATTCAGTGGGTATGCTTTTATGCTTCTCACCATCATTAAAGCCGATATGCAGATTAACCTTTCCTAATGTGGAATAAACCCCATTTACTCTAGGATTGATATCATCTTTTTCATATACAGTTTCCATTTCATTAACATATTTTCTGCTAACATAACTTACATCGGCGCCTGTATCAAGTATTGCTTGGGAAAGGCCAGTCTCTTCAACTGAGCAATTTATAAGAACCATTTTTATTATGGCATATAAAATTCAAATATAAAAAAATAAACCGATCCTAAAGAAACCAATCTCTATCACTGCGGTCTGGCATTTATCGGATAGCTAATTAGCCTTATTTTTTATTATATGCATTTTTCTCCTGATCTTTCCTTTGGGTTAGGCGCTTCCTAATTCTTTGATTCTTAATCATGTTTACTATCTCATTAATATCAGAATCAGATGAACTGGATTCGGATGAGCTAGTCTCAGAGGAACTACTCTCAGATGAACTTGATTCAGATAAACTAGTCTCGGAAGAACTACTCCCAGATGACGAACTAGTGTCAGATGAGCTTGATTTAGACGAACTAGTCTCAGATGAGCTTGACTTGGATGGGGCATTGGTTAAGGCTGTCAGATGGTTTACCCCAAATGCCTTCGGCTGGTCACTTTCCATTTTGATTATTTATATGCTAAACTTAATAACTTTGACTGAAAAAATATGCAAAGTGTCTGATTCATCTCTCTAAAAATACCACCCGCTTGACCTTTCTCAGTCGTATCCTCCTTCCTTGCTTAACCGAAGGCGCCAGAGCATAAGCAACATCCTTTCGCTTTCTTATTACATGTGTATCATCTAAATCAGATTCTTCGGAAGACTCAGACGAATAGGCGGATCCCTTACTTTTTTCATTAATCAGCGAGGGAACTATTTTATGAATTAAGTCGATCACAGTTTCCCTATCTACACATTCGTCCAGATCTTCTGTTTCGGTTTCTAAGAACTTTACATTTCTCTCTAATCTTTTTACCCTCTTTTCTAAAGTGTTATATTGGGGATGACAATCTTCTAATTGTTTTGTTAATTCCTCTGTTATACTGAAAACTCTATTGCGCACTTCTGCATTTAACTGGGCTATTTTTTCTGTACTTGGGATAACTCCCTGCTCGCTATGTGTACTATCAGATGATTGATTTTGATCGGTTACCATTTTCGTGGTATATTCTATATGCTAGATCTTAGGCGAACGAAAAAATAAATTAATAAACTCCTTTGATCTATCGATTATTTTCATCGAAGAGCTCACGTAGCTGTCGGCGCTCTTTTTGGATTTTATTAGATTGTTGAATAAGAGCTGGATCTCTGGCATAGTTATTAATAATTTCAGGATTCACTCCGGCTTTTGTTAATTCCTCTCGAAATCGGTATTGTCGTGAGGCACTTGCTATGACTTCTTTTCTATCATTATTTTTCGGTCCTAAATTTATACTATGGCGGTGAATATCCCACTTATTACCAGTCTTGGCACAATATTCTGCCCTTTTCTCTATAGTAAACTTCTCCTTTCTTTTATCTGGTACGAGAGACTCTTTCTTCTTTTTACTATATTTGCGCCGGGTTAGGAGATCTTTGACACATTTGTGGGCCTCCCAACCCTGTAATGAAGCACCAAGTTCTTTGTTGTGTTTACTCAGTTGCTTTAGACTGGACTTGGCAGATAAGTTATATTTTTCTGAAAACTGCTCTAGGATCGATTTAAAGTTATTTGTTTTGGGTTTTCGGGCCTTTGGGGTTGCTTTTGTCATAGCCATACGATATCTTATGGCCAATTTGAAATTTGCAGATAGATAGGATATGCGAAAAAAAAAATACCCCTCAATCATAAATTTCGGGACCTAACAAAATTTGCCGAAGGTGCGTTGCTAGTAACTATACATATTGATAATATCAGATATTTCATCATTTTCTGCAGACTCCGATTCCGACTCTGGGTTGTGATCAGATTCTGAGTCTTCTGTTTCCGTATCACCTTTAGAATAATTATTTCCTGTATCGAAACCTATATAATGTCTTAATGCGATTTTTGTGAGATTGCTAAGATGCTGAGGGGTCGATTTGGGTCCACCATGAGTCCTGCAAGCATGTTTACCTCCTGTTTTTCTTAAATCCTTTGGGAGAGACTTATAAGGCTTTTGTTTTAAGAATTCATTAAAGCTTCTAACATTACCAATATTACGTTTCCCATTTTTATCGTAGACAGGATCACGTAACTTTCTAGCCTTAATTGCCTCTTGAATCCAAATAAGCAATTCCCTTGCACGTTCTGGATCCTTTTCCATAGAGAGAAATCGTCGTGGGTCCTTCTTCCCCTTATCCTTTTTATAACCTATGCAATACCAAGTATAACCTCTTTTATACCATGCGGGTGGATCCTCGGATCCTGGTTCATAGTGTATAATCTGAAGAGATGATACTTCTGAAGGTCTCATGCTCAACATCACAATCACATCTGCGAGATTCTCTCGATTAGGTATTTTAGAAGTATCTATATTTTGAAGCCTTTCACGTACCCTCGCTAAGGAGAAGTGTGGGGGGATTCCATCTGAGTTAGCCATTGTCTCATCAGTTCGTTCTTTCTGAATTTTATTAGACTCTTGAATAAGTTCTGGATCTTTAGCAAAGGTATCAATAGTTGCGGTATCTACCCCACCTTCTGCTAATTTCACACGGAATGTTGACTGACGCGAGGCACCAGCAACGATTTCATTTTCATCTTTATTTTTTGGACCTAACTCCAAATGATGGGCAAAAATGTCCAAAGCAGTACCGGCCTTAGCACAGTATTTTGCCCTTTCTTCTATGGTGAGCTTTTCCTTTCTTTTGTCCGACACGAGAACCCCTATCTGCTCTTTGCTAAATGCTTTTCTTTTTTTAGTGCCTCTGACAAGGAGATCTTTAATGCTCTTGCGGTCTGTCCAATCATGTAGTTGAGCATTAAGTTCTGGAGCATGTTCTCTTAATTGTTCTAAGGTGGAGTTGGCCGACAAATTATACTTATCTAGGTGCTGTTCTAAAATCGTAACAAAGTTATTAGTTTTCGGCTTTCGAGTCTTCGGGATTGTTTTTCTGGTAGCCATGCTGACAATAAGTAGTTATATTTGTTATCTACTCATACATACATAGAAAAAGTTCAATTCGAAAATAATTATCCTGATAATTTACTATATGTGGACCACTCATGGCCGGTGAAAGCTATCGGAGGGTTAGAGAAAGGGGAAAAAATATGTATATAACTTATGGGAGGTCTCTTTGAGGTCACCTGCTCCGGCCAGAATATGTTTTGCATATATTTGAAAATTGCAGGTAGATAGAATATGCGAAAAAATAATAATAATTTAGAATTTTATATCGCCTATGAGTAAAGAACATAAAGACCCTCTTACCTAAACACCTCACCTATAAACCGGCTTCTTATTCGCTCTTTACCAAAGCATACCATTCTCCTGGAGTATGCTTACTGTTTTTTTCCATTTCTCGTCAGTATCAAGCCAGGAGGATGTAACTCCATCATCCTCGAGCCCACGACGGATAATTTCTTCTCCTATTAATCTTTCCCGTACTTTCATGTCCATATATTCTTTGGGATCTTCTTCTAACTCTTCTGCCCAACCACACATTCGTGAATCAGTTTCCATCCTATCCCGAAATGTAATGGAATCGAGCCTGTCTTTTTCGGTGATGGTCATGAAGACATCTGGATCCTCACCGAGTTCGACTGCCTTTTTTCTGAGGCGCTCTTCTCGCTGAGCTCTGGCCAGAAGTATGGCAGGTGATACTTCATTAGGCTTGGGAGAATCAGCTTCTTTAGGAGGCATATTCATTATTTTACTTATAGGCTTGATAGATTTGGGTTTATCGATTACTGGCTCAGGCGGATTAGAAGTCTCAGATGTCCTAGATGTTGAGGCGATGGGGACTTCGGCTTGCTCTGATACATAGTCGAAAAGAGCTTGGGTCGAATCGTCGTGTTTATCCGCTTTCTTATCTCTCGAAGAGAGATTCTCTTCTGGAAGAGGCGAGATTATTTTCTGGGGAATAGTTTCTGGTACATTGAATATAGGTATGTCTGTGGTCTCATTTTGGGATCCCTTGTTTGTGGGTATGTCATCTGCCTTTAGCGCCTCTGGCTGAGGTATATCAGAAAATTCTTCCATATCACCTAGGCCAGATTCACGGAGCTTAGCTATGATCTTGGAGCGGTCGAGAATGTATTGCCATTCTCTTTTCCCACCTCCCACTCGTCCCTGTTTACATTCAATAATATTTTTTTCTGATAGCTTCTTGCCGAAAATGTTGTTAGAAAATGGCTTTTCACCATTATCTCCACACCATTCAAGATATTTTTGGTATAATAATGTTCGACCTGTCCTGACTATACTATCCTCAGCCCAAGATCCAATATAGTCAATTATAAATCGAATGGGATTGGGAAGTTGGTCTCGCATTATATCTGATTTCATTTTAGTTGTAAGAATTTCTTGTGGATCAAAATCTGAGATATCTAGACTAAGAAGATATTTCATAACTACACCAGGCGCATCAGAATGGTCAAGTATATTTCCTAGTCTTTTGAAATACTTTGTATTTCCTCTACAGCATGTAGAGACATTAAAACAAACTACACGAGAATCACCTATGTCTATTTTGAGTGGCGCATCCTGATTACTAGTAATCATATACCCAGTGAAGTCTTTTAATCGTTTAGTTTCAAGACCTTTACGTTCTATAGCAACTCTTCCTTCTGTTATGAGAGATTTGAGATGTTCATTAAACTTATGCTATTCTCCACTAGACATTCCAGTCTCATTCATAACGATAAGTTTTTGAGCTTGAATGGTACTATTAAACTACCCAAGAATTTTTTCTAAATCTGATGTTGCAAAATGAAGATGTGGTCCTAAGACTTTATCTCCAATAAAATCTGTAATAATATTTTTTCCACACTGTTGTAGAGTGGATTTTAGTATTAAGATTGATCGGGGCTTCTGTTGTGGTTTCTGCACTAAAAGGGCCCACCAGTTCCAGATATACTCATTGAGGACTTCATTCCCATCGCAAATTATATTTCTTACATGCCAGAGAATCGGATCCATAATTTCTTTGTTAATATCCATCGCTGGCTTAGCCAAAAATCCTAGGAAAAGGTTAAAGAATTCTGTGTTTGGTTGAGGAACGCTTATGGGATATGGGAGGAAATCATAATCTGCGTAAACTATTAGACCTTTAATAACTGCCTGGTCTATCAATGATTTTAACTTCACTGCTTCACCTCCATATTCGATTATTTTAATCTCAAACTTGGCAAGTTTTAGTTCGGTTCCCATACCAAAGTAAAGCTCATTTTCTGGATCCCTATGTTTTAATATCCAGACTGGCTTATCCAATTGAATATAGGCAACGGTTGATTGGATTGCTTTATAAACTTCAGCGCGGGAGAATTTACTACCTGAAGTACACATACATATTAAGTCCCACCATACAAAACAATCATTTGGGTTCGAAATTCTGCTTCGGTCTTGTTTTATAGGACTCGGAAGCTTTTGTTCCCGTTGCAAAGCAGTTTCACTAATGGTAAGCTTTACTGAGGGATTTGTAGTTTCAGGTTCTCTTTCGTGATTTGCACGATGACAATAAAATCTATATGATTTTTTATTTCGTAAGATATATCCGTTATCATTTTCATGTTCCCGATCACATATTTGACAGTGCGATAGAGAGTTGCGTACTAATGGAAATAAGTCAGGGATGTTATTTGAAGGAAATGAGAGAGTGTAGCCTTCAATAGAATTATCTCTAAGTAATGTTTCTATGAAATCGAATTCAGCCTGACCGATATCGGCATCAGTATTTTCATTTCCTTCGGTCAGGCATCTTTTATCTTCTCGCTCTGGGATAGCCAAAAGAGGACTGTTCTCGACGACTTCTGATTCATCGTTGGGTGGGCGGATCATGAAGTCGAAGACAGTTCCATCTTTTGGACAAATAGCTTTTTTTACACGAATGTGTTCTTTAGTTTTTTCCTTATACTTGGGGGATCTAAGCAATCGCAAGGAGAAGGAACTTTTATTTGCGATGTTATCAATAATGCTTTTTCCTTGAAGAGTCTCAGGAAGTTTTTTACGAACAAGCTCAGTAAAAACTGCGACCTGAGGAATATTTGGAAGTCTCATGCCAAAGGTTGAGACATGGAGAGATATTTTGCTTGCATCACTACTATCAGCAATGGCCATAGTTTTTTTGTCCCATTTTGGGAATACTTCTTGACAAGTATCTCTAAAGGCACAACAAAGTTTATTTTTTGCCTGACCGCCTGAAATCTTGGGAGTGATAGCATTTAGCGTTTCTACTGGCAAGTCAAAATCGATAACAGGCCGAAGTGGCTCACCATCATCAATAAATTCGTGTAAGGAGTGGCCTTTACGATCTGAGAGAATGGCTTCTATTTCATCCTCGTTGTCTGCACCTAGAAAATGTCTCGGCCTAACACTATCATCCCGGATTTTGTATAAGGATGCACCTATATCAGAGGCTTTGAATCCACAATAGTAAGGAGCGGAGGGCGCGTCAAGGAACTCTGAAAGCTCGAATTGGGTCATTTTTTCTTAAGCAATTTACGATAATTTATAGTTATACCAAAACTCAAGGTATATTATTCGTAAGAAAAAAGTTTAAAATGAAAATAATTCCCTAACATTATTAATTGATATATACAAATGGGAGGTGGAAAAAAGGAGAAACGATCCCAGGCCAAAGACGCTAAAGCAAAGGATCCATCCTGGAATTTTTATTATTGTCCATATATTCTTAGGACCGGAGAAGTGTGCAATCGGAGATGCTATGATCCAAAGGGATGTAAAGTCCATTGGAATTCTAGGCAAGTTCCTTGTAAAGAAAGCGGATGTGATGAGATGACTAGATCCAGATATGACTATTGCGATACACATGCAAAAAAACATAGATCGAGGGAACATTATCATCGGAAAAAGCAGGCTAAGATAGCTTCGGCGGAGATACCGATAGGTAATTTAGAGGTAAACGAAAATATTATAACTTGTCACTAGTGGATCCCAAAGGGATCGTGTC